GAGACAGCTTTACGATACGACGAAGAAGCTTGCAGGGAAATACAGTAAACCAGAGAGACCAGTCAAAGACAAAGAAGGAAGACCAATCACTGAGATTCAACAACAGCGCAACAGATGGGCAGAGTACTTCGAGGAACTCCTGAACAGACCGGCTCCAATGAATCCACCGGACATCGAAGCAGCACACACAAATCTTCCTATAAATGTCAATCCACCAACGACAGAAGAAATCAGAATGGCCGTCAGACAAATCAAGAGCGGGAAAGCAGCAGGACCTGACAATATACCAGCTGAAGCGTTGAAGTCAGACATCGAAGTAACTACAAGCATGCTTCATCTTCTATTCAAGAAGATTTGGGAGGAGGAACAAGTGCCGATGCACTGGAAAGAAGGACACCTCATCAAGATTCCAAAGAAAGGAGATCTGAGCAAGTGTGAAAACTACAGAGGCATTACACTACTGTCAATACCAGGTAAAGTCTTCAACAGAGTGTTACTGAACAGGATGAAAGACGCAGTTGACGCTCAACTTCGAGATCAACAAGCTGGATTCCGTAAGGACCGGTCGTGCACAGACCAGATTGCGACACTACGGATCATCGTCGAACAATCAATTGAGTGGAACTCGTCACTCTACATCAACTTCATTGATTATGAGAAGGCATTTGACAGTGTAGATAGGAGGACGTTATGGAAACTTCTTCGACACTACGGAGTTCCTGAGAAGATTGTCAACATTATCCGGAACTCATACGACGGACTACAGTGCAAAGTAGTGCATGGAGGACAGCTGACAGACGCATTCCAAGTAAGGACCGGAGTAAGACAAGGCTGTCTACTCTCTCCCTTCCTGTTTCTTCCGGTGGTCGACTGGATTATGAAGACCTCGACATCTGAGAGAAACTACGGCATACGATGGACAGCTCAGAACCAATTAGACGACTTGGACTTCGCAGATGACCTAGCCCTCCTATCACATACACACGAACAAATGCAGATAAAGACAGCCAGCATAGCAGCAGTCTCTGCATCAGTAGGCCTCAACATACACAAAGGGAAAACCAAGGTCCTCAAACACAACACGGAGAACAGCAATCCAATCACTCTTGATGGCGAAACTCTTGAAGATGTGGAATCCTTCACATACCTGGGAAGCATCGTCGATAAACAAGGAGGTTCAGATGCAGACGTCAAGGCGAGGATTGGCAAAGCTAGAGCGGCATTCCTTCAACTGAAGAACATATGGAACTCAAAACAACTTTCAACCAATATCAAAGTCAGAATCTTTAATACGAACGTCAAGGCAGTTCTACTGTACGGAGCTGAAACTTGGAGAACTACAACAACCACCATCAAGAAGGTACAGGTATTTATCAGTAGCTGTCTACGCAAGATACTCAACATCCATTGTCCGGATATCATCAGTAACATCCTACCAGGGGAGAGAACAAACCAGCTTCCAGCGGAAGAGGAAATCAGGAAAAGACGATGGAAATGGATAGGACATACATTGAGGAAATCATCAAACTGCATCACGAGGCAAGCGCTAACTTGGAATCCTGAAGGGAAGCGGAAAAGAGGAAGGCCAAAGAACACATTACGTCGGGAAATAGAAGCAGATATGAAAAAGATGAATAAGAACTGGAAAGAGCTTGAAAGGATTGCCCAGGACAGGGTTGGATGGAGAATGCCGGTGAGCGGCCTATGCTCCTTCACGAGGAGTAACAGGCGTAAGTAAGTAAGTAAGTATGTAAGTAAGTAAGTAAGTAAGTAAGTAAGTAAGTAAGTAAGTAAGTAAGTAAGTAAGTAAGTAAGTAAGTAAGTAAGTAAGTAAGTAAGGGACATTTGTTGTCACTAATAACCTTAGATTTCTGGCAGCCTACACAGGAGCGTGCATACTCCCTCACGTCTTTATTTATACCAGGCCAGCAAATCCGTTCAACTATAAGCTTGATGGTTGCACGAACACCTGGATGAGAAAGTTTGTGCAACGTGTTGAAGATGTTGCGTCGATAATGTTTCGGCATTATTGGGCGATACCTACCTGTATATGTGTCACAAGGTAGGGTTTCCTTACCAGTTCCCGTCTGTTTGATGCGCAGTTTAAGGGTTGTCGACGATAACTCGTGCTGAAGATCAGTGTATTCTTTTGAAGCTGGGCGAGTTTCAGAAGGTCGATTCCTTGGAATCTGTTCAAGGAAGTCATTCGAAACAAGGCGTCTGCAACTACCTTGCTTCCTACAAAAATGCGTCGAATGTCTGAAGTAAACCGCGAAATGTAATCTTGTTATGTTTGCCGGCTACGGTCGAAGTTAATGCGAGCCGGCTGGAAAGTTTCGCGAATTGATGTTCATGTCGGTCGATTTTGAGTTGGGAAAATCTCAGGTTTTCCTGCAATTTCTGGTAGGCTTTCCGTACTGGTTATGATACCAGCACCATTTGAAATTATCCGTCTCTCGTGGTCCAGGGACAAATCGCTTACCCTAAGGGCTTCTTCGCAGGGTATGTGACCGTTTACGGTCGTTACGAAATCTAAGATAACGTGTAAGAGTATGACATCATTCCGTAATGTCATTCTTGGTCGTTTTAGGTTTTTCTTTGACTGAAAAAAACCTAGGTTTCAGATTTTTTTATTTTTAAGATGTGGTTGACAGATGCAGCCAGTTCGTCTACGGCATTGTTTTGGAACAAGACCAGAACAGCTTGCACCTGTCGAGGAATCTTGAATAGGAAAAGTTGTTTGAACATCCAATCATTGAAGGTTCTTTGGTCGATAACCTCTCTCATTCTTAGCAACATATCTGTCGCATAACCACGTTGAAGATCGATATCACTAAGGCGTTGGTCTAACCTTTGTTGATCGGTTAGCTCTTTGTGTTTAAAGGTAGATCGTTTTAGTGTTTCGTAGGGTTCTGAAACATCATTAGTAAACATATTAGGTTTTACGTAACTGTTGAATTCGCGCGGTAGTGCCTTGACTACTGCGAGGAATTGTGCACGTGTGTCGTTCACGCAGTAGTCGGCTTCTGCGTAGCAAAACCAGGCTTCGATGTTGTCTGGCCAGAAGGGCATTAGTTGAAACGAGGGCGGGGACATAGTCTTTAGCTTAAATATTTTCGGGTGTCTGTTCAGTCATGGTGAAATATCAAGTACAAGAATGAACCTATGTGACAAAAATGTGTTGTGATTTGCTTCGAAATCATCGCAATATTTCCCACAACTACATTGAGAAACTCAAAGTGGATAAGGATGAAATTCTTATTTATAGCGTGGCCTGTTGAAAATGCTACCCTTATTTTTGTTATTTCAGCAAACACAGAATAGATATTTGCTCAGATCTCCTTCTTTCCAGTACATCGGCACTTGCTCTTACGGAATAAAACATGGAACATGTTTTAAGTTACATCTATGCCTGACTCTAGTGCTTAAACTGGTATATTGTCATGTCCTGCTGCTTTGCCACTCTTGATTTCTTCCGTCGTTGGTGGAGTGACATATAGGAACCTCCGTATGTGGTGCTTCGATATCCGGTGGATTGAATGAAACTGGTCTATTCAAGAGTTCTTCAAAGTACTCTACCCACCTGTTCTTGAATCTCGGTGGTCGTCTCGCCTTCTTTGTCTCTTAGCATTCTGCCATGTTTTCCTGCTAGTTTCATCACTAAGTATACGATCACTGTTAAGTTTGAGATTCGACATTTAGCACCATATAAACGGTCAGAATTAGTAAACCCAGGAATAGTCGATCAGAGTGGTATGGCCACGCCATGCCACGCAAATGTGGTCACTCATTTAGCTTCTTACTGAATAAGTTATTCTATCTACAGCTTTAATGTGTTCTCTAGAAGTGCTGAACATCATATTACTGCCTGTCGCATTTGGACGAGTCAGTATAGGCAACGGTGTAACCTTTACATGTAATCTTATAGATGTGATAGCCACATGGTAAATTCACAATTTTTGGTTTATTATTTTAATAGTAAAGATAAGCACATTTTATACCGACATAGACCGGAATTATACAAGATGCATTTTTCCGCGTGTCATAGACACTTAGATTCTGAGATACAGTAGCAACACACTACTAACTCGACAATCGTAAAATAATATCCAATTCGTTGGCCCAGTCAAACATTATTGACGTTAATAATTCTTGTACTTTTGCTTTTAAGAGATCACATATGTTATCTATTCACTTTGCATATATATTTCAAAGGCATTACTATCTGAGATCTTATTAAATTCAGAGCGACCTGATGTATAATTTTGAATCATGCAATCCTTATTGAAAAGTTATTTCGACAAAAATGTTCTAACGGCTAGATGACCGACTGGAATCAAGGGAAGTGACCTATCTAGGAAAATATATCTTATTTCTTCTAACGTTCTATATGATATACAATGTAGTTGTATATAGATACAGCCATTTACAACTTTCCCCAAAATATGTTATTGTAAAATAGATATAGGAGTTAACACAAATAACACTGCAGACGTAGTTTCCTCTTTTAATCTTGTTACATGTAGTATTTTCTAATATTAAAAGAGACAGAAACGAATTTTCCAGAATGGCTTGGACCGTGACAGAAGAGAAAAAAACGTCCCAAAATATTAGGGGCTTTTCTGTTACATTGAAAAGCACATACAAACATAGGACATGATTATGGTCCTCCTGTCCCAGTAGATGTTTACTGTGATTGATCATTGGAAGTATAAAGAACAAAACAATTCTGTAAGCCGAATGTTGATTTACTGGATGAAAATGAGCTACTGCAGTTACCTAATACACTACACAGCAGAATGATCTAATGCTAAACTATAAGGGCAATAGAGATTAGCAAATTATTTAACAAGTCAATTATAGTTGTAATAGTGAAGACAGCCACCAAGTAAAGATGAGTTTACGGTCAAAACTTAGGCTCTCTGTTGATGTTTCTGAAAGCGATTTCTATTTTTTTCTTTCCTAGAGCGTTAGAAAACCTGCATCAATATTATTCCCGATGCGTCGAATGGCAACAAAACACATTACACTATTCCGCGAATTACGTGTATAGTACTTTACAAAAAAACATACATTTTGAGTCATAAAATTAAAAACCATTTATTCGACGTATATAATAAAGATAATATATTGACAGTAATTTCTGTAGAATCCACCACTTATCCAGAAGAATATATTTTATTTGATAAAAGAAAACTCAAAAAGTAGGAGTGATTAAAATCAATGTTTCAAGTCAATATTATGCATGTTTGTAATCGAAGGAATGGACTGAATATTGAAGCAGGGAATAATTAATTAGTTTCATTATATTGTCAGCTTACGCCACTTACTAGTAAGAACGGTAGGTCCTTATAGTATGACAGAGATCTGAACACTTCAAAAAATTACATGAGAAATAGAAACAATGTAACTTTCAGTAGTTTGGTGGTGACCATAGTCAGAAGTCAACCAGGAGGCATCAGGTTTGAATCTCATAACAATTAATTTGGCATTGACTGTAGAATATTATTCACTAGCTCTCACATGAAGTGTAGCTAAAAATTCAGCACATAAACTTGTATTTGACAAATGAATTGCATACAACCAAAAGATAAATATGCATCTAAATTGTGAAAATCCTAAATAACGAAAATCAGTGCGCTTTTGCCTTTGGAATACTGTATTATAAAGACTACAGCAGGCTACTGTTTAGAAAACAAAATCACTAACGACAATAAAATGAAGACTCAAATAAATCAAATAAGGAAATAAAATAAAATATAAACAAGTATGAGGGAGAGAAAACATAAAATTAACAGGATTAAATTCAATCCATGAATTATAAAATATTACGTTTATTCATTAGATACATCAAGGTGTTCATAGATGCGTCTAAATACGATAAAGTCTCCTGTAGTCTTGGTATCACACATTCAATCTATTCAATGGATAAAAAAAAACAAAATTCACTACAAACAGGTGGAATTGAGAAAACATTTTCTGAAAAAATATTTGAAGCTAAGGTGAACCACAATGCTTTCACAGCTCAATAAGTGATAAGTCCAGTAACTTCGTCGATTTTCTGGTACATTCTGTGAACTAGTGCTATATTTAGAGGATAACTTATAAGTTGTAGATTTTTCTGTAATTGTATTTTCCATCTAGTACGTTATGGATAACTTTAGATGATTAAAATCCAATATTTAGCATGCATCAGCTAGATTAACGAAAAACAGCTGGAACTGTTGAATAAAACATACCCAGTGAATATTGAGTATTTTGAAGGCAAAAATACCAAGAATGATGGTACAAAATATTCACGGTATCAGATTTTTAAAATTGATGGAAAATCTATCCATGTACAATACAAAAGAATACAATCATCTTTAAAATTCCATCCTTTTCGTACAAATGATATCAACTTTGAATGAAATTCTATCTCAAAATGTCTGTCGATATAAGTAGTATGTAACACTAATCGGAAATGGAAAACCTGGAGGCAAAAGGCTATGAAGGTTGACTTGAAAACAGAAAAAGAAAGAAATTGTGGATCTGAAGAATCACACAGAACGTAAAAGACAAACGATGGAAATTCGCGAATGAAGTATGTCATGTATGGTTTCGGAGTTTTGTATTAAAACACATTGGTTATCCCCACCTGTGTTCCCGGTCACAACAATACCAGTGTAAGCAAAACAGTTTTCAATTGTCTACATATGTCAAACATTCCCCTATGTAATTTCATTCAAAGGAGCTCGATGACAAACAATCAAAATCTCGTTTTTGTATTGTTTGTTTGAATCTTTCTATTGATGTTTAGGTCAGTCAGTCAGTAACAACGCAGAACTTCGTACGCACATACATCAGTTCGAGTTGCCATACCATATTAGCACAGAGATGTAGTTGTTGATTCAAATCCTATAGTGGTAGAGGTGGTAAGAGTATAAGCAGAAATCGGAAAGACTACGGTTTGAAGATATTAGGACTGCAAATGATCAGTCTTTTATTAGGATATGTGGGTCCTGTGCGGATCGCCCCGAGTTATAAGCGTTATAAGAAAAGATGGATAAAGACTAGCACTGGAATTCAAAACGCGCGTTTCACCCTATTTGGGACTCGTCGGCTGGACGTAACTGCATCGCAGAGTTGGTGTTCACACCCGGACACGGATCCAATACTGTTCGCTTTAAGTACTCATAAAATGATTGTATATAGTCTGTCTCAAACACCTGTGTCCCTTGGACTACATGGTCACTTTACCGAGTCTCTAATACCACCACTTAACAGACTCCCTGTACAGATAACTTTAGAAGCATTCTTTCATGGTCTAGGGAACTAGGAAGTGGCAGTTGATTGTATGTTTATTATTTTCGTATTGCCTAATTACATGCTTTTTTTAAACTGCAGACTGTTGCTATAGCATTTTCCACCCATAAACTAGAAAACATTCTGTATCCAGTGCTTCAGATTTTTCTATCATTTATGTTGTCGTTCTGTGTTAATATTGTTACTAGATTGGTTTGCTGCGTGGTATGATTTTGCATGTATATAAGTGAATGTCTGAAACATAAGGACGACCTTAGAATGATTATTCGCCTTGTGCTCTTCTTTTTTGGTTGAAGCACGCTGGTATTGACTAACTGTCAAGCATAGATTATCAGTCACTTGTCTTTGCTGCGTATTGGTTGATTAGGGTCGTCCACACCTACTAGTCGGTTGTAAGACATAAAAGTCTTGATTGAATGTGTGGGAAATTTCTTAACGTTCTTGTTGGGAAAATTGTTGATCCTGAAGAAACCTTCATTACCGATACTATTATTTTGACCGAAATCGAAATAAGTTGCACAGAACTAGAACTTGTAATAATATGGTTCTGATATAAGGACAAGTTACTAATAAACAAATGCGCCCTATTAACAAAATCGCTCAAAACATAATTATCTAGTGATATTTTAGATTATCTTACACAGTCTTTGTTAAGCTATCAAAAAAGATGTACGTAAAGGGTTTAGAAACACAATGAAGTGGACATTGTTGTGTAGACACAAGCAGACAATGAATGTTGGTTATTGTTACAGATAGACTGATAAATAGCCAGAGACATATACTGGGTTTATCATTTACACTTTTCATTTACTGTACATTTACTTGTTTGTTGATTGATATGTGTTAGTCGAGAGAATTACGTATTCTAGATTTGAGTTGTACTGATGTATGATAGATCAATTGCTAGAATGCTAATCGTAAATGTAATAGAATCATTCATCGTTTGTCTTAGGCAAACAAGTATTTCATTAGGATTTCAGGAGAAAACAAACGTTATTTCAGGTTCAATGAATAAGTCACACTGCTAAGTATTCAATAAAAATCTGGTTCTACTACACATAATTTTCGTAACTCAGAAACCTCACAGATAAATTGATAGATGCTAAAAAAGCAAACAAAAGATTTCAGTGAAAACATTGAAGTGACCAATACAAAGAGTACTATGAAATAAACATTTATTTTATCACTTAGTTCGTTTTTGTAAACAGATTGTTATATTTTTGGCCCAAGATCAAACTCCATAATGAAAGAACAATGAATCATAAAATAAAAATCTCCATCTAAATAACGTATATTAAACTCAGTCTAATAAATTTTGGGCAACGACGATAATAAAATCCAAATACGAATTAAATTGGAAGAGCTCATTTCAGACATTTAACTATGTAGACAAAAGATTAGGAGTGAGAGAAGGAAAAAGACATCTCCATCCACTCAATTTGATTAGGGCGTTTTCCAGTTTTAGTTAATATCTACCATCCGTCGTGAAGCATAGGGAGGCGACCAGGATTCTCCAACCAACTCTGTCCAGAGCTCTCCTTTTCAGTTGTTTCCAAGTCCTATTCATTCTTTTGATATCTGCCACCATTTCCCATCATATTATGCTTTTTGGTCTGTTACTTTTCCTTTTGCCTTGAGGATTTAAAATTAGAGCCAGCTTTTTAGTGCAATTTGATTTCTGTGTTATATGCTCTATCCACCTCCAGCATTAATAGGCATGATAGATAGAAGCAAGAGTACATATTGGGCGATATACTGGTATGCTCAAGTTCACATATATGGATGACAAAAAGACTGTAAATATTAGGATAACTCGTCTATCAGAAGGTAAAGATAGATCATGTACGCGTGTAACAATGCTAGTTATTGCAATATACTTTCATAAATCAAAAAAGTCAAGAGCATTTACTTGACTACAATATTGTAGAAAATGTATTCAAAACATGCAACGTATATATATATATGCTAAACCGTACAAAACAATTATGAAACAACTTACGCTTGATCGATTTAAAACTTCCCATCGTTTATCCAAACTATTGTAAACTAAGTTATACGCAGCAAACACTAATGAACAACCACGTATAAACATGCTTAAGACAATATCTTTCGGTATAGGTGGATAAAAACATCTCTAGATTAAGAAATAAACAAAACGATAGTAATAAATATTACAATTACTGTGACAAATGATATTTAATGCAAGGGAACATTTTGATTAGCGCAGACAACTCAACAAAGTTTACAGAGACACGACAGGCATATTGAAATAAATCTATAAAGAAGTAAACTCGTCCACATATCGATCTTATTGACGCTTAACCAATATCACAAATAACTGAAATAGAGGTGTTATGTCGGGGAAAAACAGACTATTTGCTCTTATTGTACTGAGTGCTTTATGGTCGGGGACGTAATTGACAAGAAAGCAGTCAGATGATTTCTCTCTGGTCCAATAATTGACCAGTTCAGCTACATTAATACATCAACCAGTGAATAACTTTGACGTTAAAGCCAATTGGTCTTAGAGCTCCTTTTAACTCGATGACGACCTGAAACTGAAGGGAACGAGATCAATTCTTGACTGTACTCAAAACTCGTACAACAATATATTAGAAATGCCCGGTCACACATCAACACAATTAAGAAATCACAGTGTGTGTATAAGTGATACAAAACCAGTGTAATAGGGGAGCAATTAATTAGTAATAAATCTAGAGTAATAAGACAAGGTAAGGAAGAGAAATAGATTACGACGTAAAATGATCCGAGGTTCCAAATATTAAGAGAACGTTGCTTAATGATCAAGAAGATAGAAAAGAAGAGAAAAAAATTTACGGGTGAGAAATATAACAGATTATTGCCTACTTAACAGATAAAAAATAAATGAAAAACAAATAATGAGTGAACGATAATCATGAAAAATGGTCACATAATTTGCAAAATCACAAAACAATAATTAAGACAAAAATATACTGAAAAAGGAGACGACATCCGTGGGAGTAAAAGATGTTACACGCATGGCTTTCGCAAGCACAGTTGAAGCTTGAATAGCCAACACTGCATCAGTGTATAAAATTTTGACTCGACTTCTCCTTGATCTTAATTCCTTGGCCGTATAGATAATTTCGGAGGATGATTATCTTTTATATTCCTCACTCATAAATTATTTTCATCCTCCTATTTTTCTCCAATCTCTCAATTATTAGGCAGCCTTCTTTAAATATTTAAAATCCCATGTCACTTTGAGATATTTCATTGAAATCATGAACCGATCAATGTTAGATCACCATAGAAAACCTAGAAACATCGAGGGGTCGTTTCGTCCTAGTATGGGACTCCTCAGAAGTGCTTATGCACAACCCCGCACGCCGGACTGCGACCCAGGACTCGCGGGAACGCTTAAACTCTAGATCACTGAGCTGGCATCCGACGACGTTAATGTCTAACTTCAACCAATCCACGATACTGCGCGACCATCTTCAACTGCCTCACACTCAACACGGTTGAACTTCAGCAGTCACAGTCGAGAAATCCCCTACTAGGACGAAATAGCAGTGCAGTGATTATAGGTTTTCAATAGTGATCTAACATCGGTTCGTGACCACAATGAGATTTAACAATCTCTACTACCTCATTCTGAGAACTTTATGATATAATTTTTCCCCTTTCTTTTATGGAGTCACATGTTTATCAAATAAATAAAAATACATTTGACACGGACTTATGGATCAATCAAAAGTTTAAAAATAGAATACATAAAAATAGAACAGTGTGTGTGTGTGTGTCAAAGAATTATACAACAAAGCTTTACATAATAATCCTCCGTATGATAACCTCCAATTTTATACATTCGCACCGTACATTTCATTATGTCAAGGGGAAATATAAAAGTGGATTTTACACAACTTTGATATGAAAAGCATGCTGCTTGTTGTGTTAGAAGAAATTGATAGAAAAACGTAATGCTGTACAAATTATATATATATATCTTACTCGACTAGGATTGGCCAGATGCTCTTCAATAGTTTTACGCGGTGGTTGGGTTAAACAATCTTTAGCATCTCGAATGTAGGAGAATAATTCGAATAAAAACTACAATAAAAGGAAATTAAACCGTAGTCATCAACTGAGGAAGGAGTCAATAACTGTCGCTTTATAAACAACACATAAATGCAATATTCACATTAAGATGATTGTGCACATAAAAATTATTTTCAGTTTTTCCATTAGGAACATGTAAGAAACTGAAGACAACTGTTTGGTTTTTAAGTCAACTTATTGATCAGTTATGCATTGATTCGAATTATATGTTTGGAGTCTGACATTAGTCCTTTTAAGTTATTTGGAGATAATAAAGTCAGAAGAAACGAGAATACTTACCCAATGACATTAGGCGTTTGCTGTGCTATTAATATATTTTCAATTAGTTAGAGCAAGAACTTATGGAGTACAGCTTACATAAAGCAACCAAAATGGACATGTTTTTATTAATTATTTACGTATGAGAAAATAGGTGGTCGCGAAACTATAAAACTTGAAGCAAGACTGAAGCTGAGATCTACTGTTTGTTGGTTTTAAAAAAATTCCAACTGATATTACTTTCCTCGCTCCTAATAAATTGGGAGAATAATCCAATTTCCGCGACAATATGGTTTTAGATCTAACACTTTTACTTTTACCATGAGGATTAAAAGTGAGGGCTTTCCTCGTGATGCAGTTTGATGATTTCCGCAACGTATGTCCTACATTATGACACACGTTCCTAAAAACTGGGTGGAATGTGGCTGACAAAGAAACCGATGACGCATGTTTGATCTTATTTGGGACGCCTTGACAGGATGTAAGGGCATCTTAGAGTTGGTATTCACTCAGACTATCTGTCATTAGTAGCCAAAACAATAACGTGTTGCTTTGAAGCCAAAATTACTGTATAAAAGTCCCAGAGCGAGTGTAAACTCTGGAATGTAGGTACATCAATCTGACGAGTCTTGAACACGACGAAACATGTATCATAAATTTTACCGATAGCCACATTTAATCTGTTCTATACATTTATTATAGTAGTAGTTTACGACACATTGAAAAAGGAAAATCTAAAAGAATTACTTTACAATTATATCACTACATTGAACTTTCTCTATATTAATCATCATATAGAGTAGATACAAACGGTAATGATACTAAAGACGGATAATTATGATTATCCTTGACTTACCGATTGACTTTCAGTTAGATCATTTTCACTTGCGGAAATTTTTGCAGATTTTATTTTTTCAAGGGATTTTGTGACATAATTTAAACAATCTTGTATCTTTAGAAGGAAATGAAAAGAAATTAATAAAGAAATGTATCATATTTTTGAAAATGAGAGTAAGAATATAGTCGTATTGGTGGAAGTAAAGCATATGGATGAGTTAATTAGATTCCAGAAAGAAATTCATTGTTGCCCTATAGCTGATGTTAGTCCATGATGAAAACCCTATTAATTCAAACACATAAAGGTTCGTCATACATGTTAAAATTATTTATCCATCACAATTATATTGTATCTTTTTTAAAATCATACATTGTTTTGTAACCAAACACTGTTTTCTCGTTGGCTAGAAAATAGTTTAAGATCGTTTATATACTTTCACCAAAGTATTGATAAACAGTATAATGAAATAGGAGTGAGAGCAGTATATCCAGTAGCCATTGTCATCGGCATCGTGTGTTCGGGTGCAGAGTAGAAGCCAGTGGCGATCCTGCTGTAGCCTTTTTTAATTTCTTCATAAAAAGTGACCGTAACTTCTTTAACTGAAAGGATTCTTTCTAGTTGTACTTTTCCGTCTCCCCTATTATTATTATTATTATTATTATTATTATTACACTACCATACACTAATCTGTGACCGTTATTGTTCTCTTTTTTTCTTCTCTCTTATTCGCACCTTACATTCTTTTTCTCTTCCCATTCTCATTGTTATTGTGTGGCGCAGATAAATCTGGTGCCCCATTGTACCAATATTTATGTGTTCAAATAAATAAATAAATGATGAAGTAACAGACTTCGAGTTATCTCAGTTGTTATATGATCTAGTAGCAAGTTACATATCAACTAGTCAATTATATACGTACATATATTAGTCCAAAATATCATATATTATGTTAGAACAGTCAAAAATAATAGTAGACGAGTCGAACTACAAGTGTTATGACAATGATGAAAAAAATCATACATAGTCAACAATATTTGGAAGAGAATAGATAAATTCAATGAGTAAAAATCTATACCAAAGATGACGATTACAAAAGGAGTAGAAAAAGGGTACAACTGAATTACTACTACGGATTTATAGTTATACCACTCTTAATGTCACGATTATTGTATGGATTCAAACAAAAATTTTCTACACCTATTAACACCGTTAAAACCAAACATTGTTAAGCTTTGTTGATTGATAATAAGTTTTGGTTTGGCTACATTTAGTCTTCTTTCATCCAACTTCCACACTGATAGATAATCTTATACCATTACAAACTGAAAGCATATATTCTAACATGAATACTACTACTCATTATTGATGGGAGATAATATGATAGAAATTATGAATTAATGGACTAGATTTAAGTGTTGAAGTCAATTAGTCCAATATTACCAATAATACAGGTACACATCTCAATGGTAAACAAGGAGACATGACGGAATCAGTGAAAGAACAATTTTGAGTGATGATTCGTCATTGATAATATTACATTTAAACGTGATTGTGTAATTTACATTAATTTACGTGAAAAAAGTAGACATGCTCTCACTGACCTGTTGTAATTTATACGGTGATCCGTGATTGTCTTTTATAATAGAATGATATGATGTTGATGTGTTTGTACGATGAACTTTCAACTCCTATTTAAAAAAAAACCAGGGATATAAGTAAACACAGGTTGAATGAATTATTTATTTTAAAGTCAAAATAGGTTCTGTTTCTAGGGAATTTAGAGACATTAGCATAGGGGTTTGTACGGAATGTTGAGTTTTATGGTTTACATTACAGACTGACATTGGTGAGTAGTGACCGGTGGAGTTCAACTACGAGGAGTTTAAAGAAGTTACCACGAATGGGGTTGTATGATGGCAGAATATCGAAAATTAATTAAAGTTCGAAATATACACAGTTGATACTAATTTAGTGGTTTAAAGGTAAGAGATCCCCGTAATATCTAAAGGTATTGGATTCAATCCCAGGTGAAAGAATTAATATGTATTGTTGAGAAGTCCTCTATTAGAAGGGAAAATCTGTGTAGAGCTCCTTAGTTTTCAGTGATTGTTTAAATGATATCAGTCTGTGATAAAAAATCGAAGATCTCTACAACCCGTCCATTAAAACATGTTTTGATCTGTTATGCCCCGATAAGCATAATTAATGGTAACTTTTGGGGTCCATTTATGGACCAATAGCACTTAAGATTCTCCCAAGTGGGAAATACGACATGAAGGTGAAAAGAGCGCTTTTGGCGCAAAAACAAAGAAATTCAAATTTTCCAAGTGAGTTCTGGGGATCTAACGTCCCAAACACGATCATAAGAACTAGAACTTACCTGATATAGAATGGAAGATCTTTTATTCGATCACTTATGGGGGATCATAGATCTACAATGTAGTGTACTAGTAAACAAATACCCGATAAATCTCTAGCGTTCTCCAGCTAATTTCAGACTGTGATGAAATCTGTCTCAAAAATTCAACAGATTTTAACAAGTGATATAGCTAAAAAAGTGAATAGAATCATCACAAACGTAGTTTGTACTGTTCTATAATCCGACCTAATCGTTAACCTATTTCTAACGTTTGAATGTCAACTAGCTGAGCAGAAGAAAAAGATTAAGACTGCAATGATATTTAGAGATTACCAGATTGACAAGAGCAGGTGGGAGGTGATATTGGCTATAAGAACAATTTACTTGCTTATGTTAAATACCTGAATACAATTTTACCAGGAAGAAATTGAATCTAAGGTTATATATTGATTTAAATGTAATTTCCGTTCATTTGATTTGAAATTAATTCAGTATCACTTTTGTTTAGTCTAACATTCATTAGTATTCATTAATCCAATGACATTTTTCATATATATATTCATCTGTATTAAGTTTGTATAAAGTTTGAGAAGCTCTAATAATTACAGAAATTAATTTTATGTATAGATAAATGCGTTTCATACTTGGGTCTCCATCTATAAATCTTCTAGACAAGCTAGGGCTTGTTTCTAGTTAGCGGAAGAGAAGACAAGGATAAGAAGGAGTCTTGGTCATTACCAATAAAGCCACGGTGGGGAATCATTCGCTTAGTACACAAAATTATCAGTAGACTACATAACAAACTCAGATGACAGGTTTGTTTAGACAGATTATTTATCGTTTATGTACGAATTCAAGTTGAGAAACGCTTTGTACACAAAATGTTGTTAAACATTAAACATCAAACTGTAAATTTATAACAGTCGATAAGAGGTGTTAATACAATTATAAATTAATAATTAATTAACGGGTAGAAATATAATAATTCTCTTTTAAAAACTCACAGCTTCATATACTAAATCACCATAGACTGAAAGAACAGCACTAATATGACCATATGAACTGGAAAAATGAAGAAAGAAAACCAAACAAAAGATAAATGAGAATTAGGAAATAAGAAATAATACCAAAACTAAACAGGGAAAAGATTTTGAAGAAAGAAAAAACAGGGTCATATGTGTTGATGTAATGCTATAAATTTTAGTATATGAAATAGGAAAATAGAACTAATGAGGGAAAACAAAGTAATGTAGGTAATAAGGAGGGCAAGACAAGATAAGTTTCAATACAGTTACGCATATGAACGAATGAATATTAATAAAAGATCCAGTAAGCAAAATAAAAACACAATGAGAATGTGACCTGTGAATACACAACCAGCTAAAACGATCCTAGTTGATATGAAGAAGGTCAATTGACTTTCAAGTTGACTCCTTACGGAAAACTAACTCATACATAAGTAGCTAAAAGGACGGGCTATAAGACAGCATCAAACACGACATCACGTCTAAGTTGTAATGATAATTTTTCAGTATGACAATTTTATTTCAGTGTAAGATTTATTCAGTACAGCATAAAGCATAGGTTTTTGATTCATTCTGTAAAAAATCCATTTAAATATTTCCTCCATATCAGTTACATTTGATATCCGTTAACTCATCACTAAATATCAGTAAAACTTATGTATAAATAAGTGAATGTAGATAGCACTTTTTGTGTTTTGCAAGGTAAACAAAGTTTAACTCACGAACTGATTTTAGCTAGACAACCATTGAAAATCTAAGAGCACTGGATACCTTTCTTGTCTAAGTATAAGAATCCTCGACGGTGTGTATCCACGAACCATTATCAGAGGGACGAACCCAGAACATCTGATCGCGCGAGCAACCACTAACCTATAGACCACTGTGCCTGAATCTATTGGTCTAACTCCAATCAATCCACGATATTGTGCGACTATCATCAATCGTTTTCAGTGGGTATTTTTCTTATACCCGACATGGTTGAAATCAACTGGTCACGACTTCACACTTGCTTCGATATACAAGTCCTGGAGTTCTACTTAAAAGCCTAGATCAGTGGAGTTTAATCTGTGTCGGATGTGAGACAGTTATTCGCCGTAGAGAATGGATGAGAGTTTTGAAATATCTCTAATTTATTGGACTTATACAATAACGCCGTCGGATGACCGCTAAGTGATCTAGAGGATAAGAGTTCGCACACGAGGCCGAAGGCTCTAAGTTTGATCCCTAGGGGTAAGGTTGTGGATGCGCACTTTTGAATTTTGTACTGGGACGAAACGGCTACTCAGTGCTTTTAGATTTTCAATGGTTGTCTAAATTAGATCGATTTATAATCTCAATGGAAAGAACTTAGATATAATTACTTGAAATAATATGTATGCAAACAATTTACCTTGGTGATCCTAAAACAAAACGTTCACTTGCTTCAGGAATAGATTTTACTTTCAAATGATCTTGGCATGAAATTAAACAATATTCAACATGAGATAAAAAGTGTGCCTGAAAAAAATGTAATTATTACTATTAATTTCTAGCATAAATCATCACTCACGAAAAGAAATTCGGGAAAAAGCTCCATAAAAAAATCAGTGAGCCACAAAATGATGAATGGATTACTATTGTTTGATGGGAATTACATTATACAGAGCTTTCTTAATTATATTTTTAAATAAAATGTATACAGAAAGCTTATCTTGCCCTTCGATTGATGAGGTTGTAAACTTCTGTTCACTGAGATAACTGTATTACCGTAGCATTGAAATTCGCTACACATTATACATGTTACAAATACTTTCAATCCATAATAGTTAACACAAATTTTGTTTAAAATCACTAATTTTCAGAGGAGTAAACAAGATTTTAATAAAATGATTCGTTTTATAAATGATTAACATTTTTTAGTGAAAACATTTTATTCAGGATATTATTTGTGACAGAAGTAGGCTAGCAACAATGTTCCCAACATCACTTCGTTAGGAAAGATTCAGTGAAATAAAAAAGAAAGTATGATACAAGGGTGTGGTTTATTGAATTGAAGACTAGAATTTCAAATAAGAAGTCACAGGTTCAGACAATAGACACATTTAATAATATTATGAACATTGTTTTATGTAGGTCCACTAATCGTCTACTTGGAAGTAATATTTGCCTAGAGAAGACTTTAGTGTTCGCAAGTATACATGAAATCGAGAACACTAAACACAATTGACGTGAACATTTACTTCTAGACTGACACCCTTGGGATTGTAGATACTTTAAGAAGTCTATGTAGATGCACGTTTTGTTCCTATATGTTATTTGCGTTTTTTCTTCAACCGTTACAAAAGTACTGACAAGCTAACTGTTGAATTTGAACCGGACAATCAAGGGCTTGGATCGCTCAGATCATATTGAAATGTTACAAATGTTTATGTAGTTTGAGATACATTAATATTAGTACTGTTGCATAAAAGTTAACGAGGGAGATTAATTGTTTCTATTAGTAATGTTAGACGAATCTGTTAAAAGAGTGAATAATTTGATTAGATAGTTTCAAGTCAAAATCAATCAAGGTAAAGTGAGGTGAAAAATCCTAAACGAAACATAGAATTACGATTTGATTCTTTTTCATAAGTCATCGAAAATTATCTGGAGGTATTGAGTTCTCGAAGTTGGATGGATAATTGTACATTTAAACTGTCCAGCTCACAGAACACAATACCTCTAAAATTCTCATTTAGGACTACAAATATTCTTCGTTTCAAGAATGACCTGCAATCTATTATTTAGTTGAAATTAAAAATCGAGGAATCATTTTTCTTTGGGTACTTATAAACTCAACTAGTCAATGGTTATATGTATATAACAAAGAATTAATGCTAAATCAACACTAATCTAGACGATACACCATACCATACTATAACATTGGACAGACATCTCAAAATGAACCATAGTGACTAATCAAAAACCTCGGTTTCTTAATAGAACCGCATCAAACATCCCATCACATTATGTAACAACGTAAACAAACACTTGTTGGAAATGAAAACAAATACGCTAAAAAAACACATGTTTTTATCAAAAAATATATTATTTAAAAATACAATAACAATTGTACAGAGCAGATTATACACACGTAAATACAAGATGAAAACAAGATTTTAATAGTTTGTTAAAAATGTAATAAAACATATCAGTAGTATACGATTAGTTGACTGATGCAGGAGTATTATCATAATTCTATGTATAACAACAACAACAACAAAAAATAGAATATTTGTTGCCGTATTTACTGAGCAAAGGTAAGTGTTATTGCCCAATTGTAGATAATAAAATTAAAAAAAAATTAGTGAAATAGAATAGAATAAATCCTTACGATAGTGGAATACAACCTAGAATAAATAAAATAAATTAAGGTATAAAAAAAGAAATGCACAACTATTTGAGTGTATTCGCTTCCCCTCCTCGCCAGTGTTTACTGGTTACTGTTCACCGGTATCAATATATTTCGACAGATCAAAGCTTAAAACACGACTGACAAGACAATTATTTTCCTGTAATATAAACAAATAACAAACAGATATGCATGATGAGATGGTGATATTTTGACATCAATAAATCAATAGTGCACTACCAATACAATTTGAATGATATGGTTATCACAATGCGAAGTTGATCGACTGATATGTCAAGTAAAGTTGCAGGATAGGCAACCATATTTATGAAGGTTAAAGGTCAGTAACAAGGTAAGTATGAGCAAAGTCATTCTGAGTATAGTACATTACTCATTAAACCCAGTTCACAACCAATAAATTCCTGTTGATCTATGAACCTATAAACATACACTAGCCTTGAACAATGCAATGAGATATATTTTAACAAGACGAAATTTGACATAGCCATAATTTTCTTCCGCTGTATAGTTCGTAAGCCAAGAGTTAGAAGCATAATAATGATTAGTGAGACACACTGCAGAATACAAAGGTCAAAATCATACATTTGATGAAACGGTAGTACTTAACAAATCAGTGACTGATTAATAGGTTATGCTTCTGTACGTACTACTGACACAATAATCTGAAAGTTACCAGTGAAAAGTAAAATTGACTATTTCAAGCTTTATCTGTTTGAAAAGTGTAATATTTATAACATAGTACAGTAAACAAAAAAAGTCACATTAAGAGAAAACATATTCAGAGAACAGTATCACAGTGACACATACAAATAAAAAGTAGAATTCGATCAGTAGTTTCAAATAATAGGGGATAGATAATTATACCCTACTGATTAACACCTCATATACATGAAAAGCCTACGGGTTGGAAATAAAGGACTTTGACTGGTTAAGCTATTGATCTGTGAACTATGATGAAAGCATTGAGCAAGTGTTATACTGAGTATCCCGTCTAGCAGCTTATTACTTTACTTAGAATTGTGTATATATACTACATTTTATATGCTCTATCTGGCCGATCTCATTTCTGTCGTAATTTCATGTTACGTCAGCGTTAATAAGTGGTATTTAAAACTAGGTGTGAAAAGTGATTGTGTCAACCAACCCACAGAATACAATACAATCAAAATATTTAACTATGTGAGCATGAGTCATAGACATTATCGCGTTTAATCAGTTTTAGGATGGATTAACTTCAACTTTCTAAAAACAGCTTTTACGTCATGAGTCATATATTCACTTAGTTCTTTATGCTCTGAAAAGATGGAGCTATCAACCTAGTTGATTTGTTTAGTTCAGTTATTTATCAGCCTTTATAGTAAACATCCTTCATCATCATCAACGCGTTGTGTTTAGTGATTTTTATTGATAGGACACGTCATAGTTAAATATTTTTAAATTTGTTACTCTAATTGTGTTTGCATTTATAATAGAGTGAATGAGAACATAAGTGAGGAAAATCGAATGTATTTCAATACAAAATTACAGAGAACACCTTATTGAAATCTGGGAATCATACAGTAAATACTTAATTTGTAAAATGTCCAACAATTGTATCAAACTTGACTGTTCCTTTTGCGAATGTTAATCAATCGTCTCAGACTTCATTGTTCTTTTGTTTCCATACAAATCACATTCTCTGTTCTCGATCTCTTTTCTTCGATTTTCTTAACCTTCTCTATTACCAGACATTTCAGTTTCGATTGGTGATACATACTACTTCTATCTGTCGAGATCACACATCACAACAACACCAGATTTTAGTGATATTTGGAACTCATTTTTAACTCTGAAAAAAAAGTACTTAATCTATCATTTCTAGGTTCTAATTAACATCACTTCATGTTGGTTAGTCTCGAGATATCTAAGCAATCAACGTATTGAGTAACAAAAATACGATAAAATATACCAGTTTACCAAAAGAAATAATCAATTACAAATTATGCTCTATTTCTCTTTTCTATATAATTCAACATTGAATAATAACAAGAATAATAATAATACTTACAATATCTGGATAAATACCAATTAAACTATCAGCACGACTGTAGAATTCTTCTTTCAATGAAATAACAATAATTTGTGCACGTGCTGAAGCATATTCACGTATAAAACTGGCAACCTAATAGTAATTATAAGTAGATAATTAGAATAAATGGATACAAGCAAATCTCAGAGAAAGAAACAAGACAAAAACTAAACGAATTCATTAATATTGTAGACTAATATTTTGAGATGGTCAGTCAGTCAGTTACAACGTAGGACCAGGCACATACAAACATCGGTCCAAGTTGCCACATCTGATTAGCACAGCAAGACCAACACCGGATTTATAGTAGTTAACTCAATAGTGTAATATATAAAGGAAAGATTTTATGTAAGGATATAGTAAAGAAAGAAAGATATGTTGCTCAGTGCTATCACAAAAATGAATTTTATCAGCGTCTTCACCAAATAGGACTATATCATCAGCGTATTCTAAGTCGATAAGTGGACCTCCTGGTAGGAGATCAATGCCTGAGAATTCAGTCGATAAGAGCGTTATTTCCATCAGTAGATCTATGATGACGTTAAACAAAAATGGAGAAAGTGGACGGCCTTTACGGACACCATTTGAGGTTGCAAAAGCAGATGGCAGTAGTGTTCGAGTAAAAAGCCCTCAAAAGGTTTATGTACTTCTGAGGTATATCTTTCAATGAAAGACACTGCCACAGAATCTCGCGGTCTACGGAGTCAAATGCTGCTTTTAAGTCGAGAAAAACTATCATTGTCGGACACCAATAAGCATGCCTGTGTTCTAGAAATTGACGAACGGTGAATATGTGGTCGATGCAACCACGACCGGGTCTGAACCCAGTCTGATTTCTTCGTGTTTGCAGTTCACGAATCTGAGTTAGACGCCTGATAATTATTGAGGCTAGTATTTTAGATGCTATATTAGTCAAACTAATTCCTGTGTGGTTATCACAGGATGATTTTGACCCCTTCTTATATATCAGGACAATAAATGATTGCGACTAGTCAGATGAAACTACATTCAACTCCCAGATTTTAGCTAAAATATTAGTCAATGTAATCGCTAAAATGAGCTCAGGTGGATGATTTTGATGGAGTTTTGTTCTCTGAGCTAGATGGTTTGGTAGGTA